ATAAACATCTGTTTATTTTCCTAATTATCTATATACTTTATGTTACTGATGTCATGTCAATGACATGAATGTCATTGAACATTTATTGAGAATGAACATAAGGCGGGCTTGACGTGACCTTTCACTACAATCATCTATTTTAATAAACATCTGTTTATTTTCCTATTTATATTAGTAATCTATGTCATTAATGTCATGTCAATGACATGGATGTCATTGAACACTTATTGAGAATGGATATAGGGACGGTTGGTAGACGAAACCTACTAATAGATGTCCTCATTACAAATGTGTATTTTACTAAATATCTCTTTATCTATGTAATCTATGAAACAAAAGATGTGGTCAATTGAAATAATTCACTGTTTCCAAGTAACATCTGCCTATTATGTATCTCCTACCAAATTTAAAAGTATTAGTTTGAATGTCGTTACTTAAGAGATTAATTTTAATTGCTTTTTATAATTCATTATCTTTCTAAATCCAACTAAAAAGTAAATTCTTAAAAGAAACTCTGTGCTAACTGAGCACACAGTTTATTTGTGTATAAAATAATTTAAAAATAAATTTTCTAAAATGAAGCTAAAATTAATTTTTTCCAGACTATCAGTAAAAACATTTGTTAGAGGAAAAAAACTATTTTCTTAATATATACTTTCTTGTCTGATAATGGTATTTTGTACTTAATTTGCAAATAAACTCATAAAATCCAATGACTTTAATCTTTTGCACACTTGCGAGTGCTAGTATATGGTCAGAAAAAAGTTCTAAATGACGTTCTTTGTATTAATGTGTGCTTAATGTGTCGGCGATAAAATTTCCTATTAAAAGTTTAATTTTATTACATACAAACAATTGCTCCAAAGTTCCTATAATATTTTTAAAAATAGTATTTTTTTTAATAAATTCTAATGGCACGATTTGTTTAATGTATATAAATAAACTTATATTTAGCGCTTATCTACGATTTTTTTAGTAAAAAATCTAAAAATAAAATTAACACAAATATAAAAATTAATTTGTGTGTGATAATCAGACTTATTTACAACCTTGAAATATCGTAACAATATTTACAACTGTCGTAAGAGTTACTTGACTTATTGCAGATACATTTATCATGTGAATTACTTCAGCTTTTAGTACATAAAAGCTTAAAAGTGTTTCTAGTTTGTAGAAAACTGCAATGGTAATGCAATACTAGAATTCTGCTAGAGTGCATTTTTTATTAATTAAATAATTATATAGTAATTTATATAGTAAAAAAAAATTATTTGAATCCGCATATTTTGAATAATAAAAAATAAAGTAACAATGTTTTTTTTTATTTATTATTTCACATTTTAATAATTTATTTATATATATTTTTTTATCTCAAACGCTTACATATATATAGTAAAAAGAATTTTGTAATCGTAACTATTTCGATATTTCATTATTTTATCATATGAAATGTGTAATCAGATAATAGATTTCTATATGATTAATTTTTTTTTGAAAAATTTTTATAGAAAAACCTAAAAGCAATTAGTTGCTCTTTGAAATGTTTTATAATAATATTGTAAAAATTGATTAGATCAGAGCTTCTAAAAGGTCAAAGAAACAAAATTAAATAAAAATAATAAAATTAAAAGAGATAAGATATTCATTACAAAATTTTGGGGTAATTTATACACATACAAGAAAATATATATTGATAATTATATACAATTATGCTATATATATACAGAAAAAAAAATCACTCAACATCATTTAGATATTAAAAATATTGTGAAAACTAAGTGAACGTATTTTCTTGTGGATATACCCTACACACAAATAATGATGCTGCAGAACAATGAGTAGTTTATAAAATTCAAAAATATTCAATGTTAGTTTTGTTTTTGTTGAAAGTAACACGTCTTATAATGAAAAGAAACTATTTAAAACTTAGAAGGGTTCGAATAGAAATGAAAAGACAAGAACAAAAATTTTAGTTAATTTATTGAAGTATTTTTATGGTCAGCCAAACTGCAGTAAATTATTGCTGCTCTATTTGTATGTTCAACCAAACTTCAATAACTTAACTAAAATTTTTGTTGTCTTTTTATTTCTATTTGAACCCTACTTAAATTTTCAATATCTATTAGCAAAGATTAAGAAATGTATTACATACTTAAATAATTTTTTACATATAAATCAACTTCTAAAGTATATAAGACACCACTGTTGTTGTTGTAAATTTATTATTTTTGTTTTGTATATAGTTGGAGCATTTAATTAAAATGAGCTTCTCAACTCATTTTAAATAATTTATTGTAGCGTAATTAGTACACTTTTATTTTTTTAATTTAGTTTTTTTAGTGTAATCTTTATTAGATAATATTTTAAACATTAACATTGCCAAAAGAAGATTAAATACAAAAAACATTTGGAAGTTAATAGCGCATTTGGTGTGCTATATTCTGTGTCTATGTAGAGGGTCTGCCATCGATTATCTCTTAAGTTGATTGCATATAATTGGTGGTTAGGCTGTTAGATACAATAATTGTGGGTAAGAATACTTTTAAAGTCTTGGATAGTGCCAATTCGGTGTTGTATTTAATGCTTTATAAGACGTTAGACCTTTATAACCTTAAGGTTATGATACATTTGAATAATTTTTTCATAATAAGGGCTGTTTACAATAATTCTGGTACATTTTGATTAAAATCGTTACAGGATTTTTACAGGTTACTTCGTCGTAGTGAACCTAAGTCAAAATCATGCTTAAGACAGCTAGATATAGTAGCAAATGGAAATTGTCAATTGCGTGCTTGAATTCATTAGTTATTAAAAGTCACTGAGATTAAAACCCAGCTAATTTTTTAATCTATATGGTTGTCTAGGTATTCTTACTGCTTTATAGTATCAATCTCTTTGTCAATCTCTTTGACATACTCTTTCCTTTCATTTGGCTATTTCTCTTTGCTCCTCAATAGGGAGAAAATTTTTGAACATCTGATGAATAAATGTTCCATTACTTCAATCTTCATTTCTTGAAAAAGTCTATATAAACATCTGTTATGTTAAAAAAATTATAAAATATAAAAATTTGGATATGCATTGGTAAAGAGTTTAATCAAAATATGTATATATATAAAAATTATAAAAAAAAAAAAATTAGTTTTTATATTTGTTACTGGGCTTAGGTCGTTTATTTAATACATAAATTTATAAAAATGTTTTTTAAATAAAATAAAACATTACACTTTTTAAACTGTGTTAAATATTAAGTTATATTTTAATTTTTATACAAAATTATTTTTATTACAAATATTTCGGTTTATTTCGTAGACCATATTTAGTGTATAATAATAATAAATAAATAAATAATAAATGAATAATTTTATTATAAAAAATTCTTTGGTGTTTTTAATGTTATTTTGAAAATTGTAAATACGAATCCAATTCTAAACTTATTGTCTTGTTATTTTCTGAACGTTTAAGTCTTAAGAGTTGTGCTCTAAATGAATTTTATTTATTTTATTTCTGACGTAAAAGTCATTTTCTAGTCATATCCTAGACAATCCAAGTATTTGTGCTTGCTTGTCATTGTTAATTCAAATTGAAAAAAAGGATTGAGTTGCTGCAATATTCTTCAATTCAATAAAGAAAAATGAACTAATCCAATGTTGAGAAATCCGAACAAAATAATAAGCTTCAAGGAATAAAAAATTTCTTTTGTGCATTTTAAACTTAAGTGCCACTTACTCTTGGGCGTGCATTTTATGAAATGCTAGTATCTTAACATTTCCTGACTGTTTTGATTTTGTGTTCCAAACATTTGAAAAACAATTTTTTTTACTTAAATCAGTATGAACTATTAAATGCTTTCCTACTTCACTTGTGCTAATAAATTAAATTTTGTTGCAACCTTAAAATTACGTGATATAATAAAGTTGTTTGTATTATAATTATTTGTATGAATTTGTACAAACATCTTTTCTTTTTGCTAATTTATTTCTAAGAAAATTTTTCGGCAATATTTGCTTGATGTGATGCAATTTCACTTCTAAATATGTCTTAGCAACTTAAATGACAACAAAAAAAAATCACAAACAATTTTTTAAAGTATTTTTTTATCTTGCTATCTTCATATATACTTGTTTATCTTTGGAGCTTTGTTAAATTCGTACTAATTTACAAAAACAACATATTCTGTTTGACAATTGTCAATTGCTGCGAAAGTCACACATTAACACGCTTCAGTAGATACGCTTACGAAGCGCACCATCACCACGTGATGATATCTAAAGATTTTGAGTGCATTCACATGAGCTTTGGCAGATACAAAAACGTTGCACTCAAGCAAATCCGTGCGCTACGAAAGTGACTGTCGACGACGACGATGAGGGTGACGACGACGCGTTGAACAGTAAATCTGTTGGATTATGCGGGTGTAAGTGCAATTGCGCTCTCACATCTACGATTCAATTTGGGTTCGACTTAAGTGCCTTAAAACGGTCATTTTACCAAAAAAATCATTTTACGAATGCTTAAAATTGCGATTTTAATTGAGATACGAAAAATTCTTCTAGATACGGGCACAACACAGAGGGTGTTCTCTCTTGTGGATAAAAAACTTTATGAACTATATTTCTTTAATAATTAAAATTTTTATATATATAAATATATATATTGTATATAACTTTGATCAATGGGGAATACTAACCTTCAAGTTGTACAAACTTAATATTTGAAATTCTTTTAATTGCGCACTTAAAATTCTTCAACAGTACGTACAGCCTTTCGTTCCAATTATGAAATTTTTATATTCACAAATTGCATTTCTTTATTTTTTAAATACACATAAATGGATATATATATTTATATACATATATATATATTTTATATTTAATATGTTGAATCACAAAATTTTATTTTATTTTTTAAGTTTTATAAATTCCATGTATTTCTTGCTTTTTAAATATTTTTGCTTATGACTACATAATAACTTTTTATCTTATTTCTTTTAGATATGGATAAATGTAAACAACCGAATCTTAGATATTGGCCTTCCCCACTGCACCATAGAAACGATATCAGAAATAGTTATAAAGTGACTTATAACAATAACAACATCGCGTAAGTAATTTTTATTTATATTATTATTAAAATATTTTTTTAAAAAAGTTTTCAGTATGAAATTTGTTTTTTTTGAATTATATATTTTTTAAATAATTAAATGTATTTTTGTTAATAGAATTTATTTATTTATATAAAAATAGTTAGAGTTCACTATTTTTATTATCTCTGTTTAAAGAAAGGCTTCTGTTAATCTTTAAATGAAAATCATTTATTTATGTATTTAAATTTTAGACGGTCCTAAGGGTCGTGTTTTTTAAAAAAATTATGTTTTTATATTAAATAAAATTATTAGGAAGAGATTTTTCGAACAGTAGTGAACTACAATAACAATAAATTCATTTTTATATTATTTTAATTAATTGAATTTTTTGGCTGACCATACAGCTGTTTCAATTAATGGCAAATACCCATCTTCAGTGGTCTTGGAAATAATTTTTAAATTTAATTATTCGTAAATAATTTTTTTGAGACTGCAAGTACCAAGAATTGAACTCGTACCCTACCAAATTTGAAGCTTAGAGTCAGCGCTCTTTCCTTTCCTTTGTTTGACATATGTTTTTTGTTGTGTTGTGTACAATATAATATGACACGAAGCACTTAAATTTTGAAACATATTTTCAGTACACATTCACAATAGACTGATTTTTTGAATTTGGCCGCATTAAAACTTTATTCTTAAATTTTTTTGGGCGTGAAATCTAACTCTGAGGAATTTAAGAGCATAGTTTTGCTTCACATGTTTTTTTTCGTAAGTTGCGAGTATTTTTTTGCTACTCTGAAAGAAAGAAACACAACTGTAGTTGCAAAAAGCTTCGTGGTTCGTATCATATACGAAAAATAACCAAAAAAAATGTAACAACAGTTTACAAAAAAATTTCTTTTGAACTATTGTAGCAACTTTAGTACAATCCCATAGTAGACTTGATATCTAATAGTAAAATATATATAAAGAACCAAATACTGATACACAATTTAAAAAATTTGGACAAAACGTATTTCTATTATTAGTATTTTGATTAACGGTCTTTTCCGGATGTATGATGATTGGACAACATGTATTTCAGCCAAAGTTAATAATAGATTTGTACCATCTATACCATCTGATTTGTAGTTTTAGAAATGTGAAACTAAATTACTAAAGCTTTATTTTTACATTAAAGACAGACAAAATAAAAATTTCAAGAAAAAAGGAACCAAATTATAAAAACTGTAAGAAAAGTTATTAGTTCTTGTTATTTGATCTTCCTACTTAGAATTTATATTATTTAAAAACAATGAAGCAAAGTGAAAATAAGTTTTCTTATTTTAAATTATTTTTTATGTAAAAAAAAATTTATTAAAACTTGAATGTACTTAGAAATGCGCATCTCGTGGCTTATCAACCCACGCCCTCAACTAACTTTGATGTTTTATTTACGTATTTTTTGCATTTGTCAAAAAAAAAAGCTGTAAATGACAAATGAAAAAAATTTGAAAGTAGTTCCTTGAATGACTGTTGCTCTGGTAAAGAGCAAATGTGGGCTCATGTATTCACTGCTGTTTCATAAGAAGTACGATTAGTTTTATGATAAATTGTTATTTTGTAACTTTTTATATGTTTCAATTTACAGAATTTTTATAGAATGAAAAATAGAATATTATTATAAAAAACTTAAGTGTTTCGTTATAGCTACTTAAATATTACAGTAATATTTATAGATAGATATTTATATCTTAAAATAATAATATAAACTTAAATTGAGGAAAACTCCTTAAAGTGCTTTTATCAAAATTTCGTCATTATAATTTGATTGGTGCATCTCGAGCGAAACGAATAACATTTCGAGATTCATTTTTAACAGTCTAGATATTATGTCGGATTAGCAAGATTACTTTGTAATAAACAGCTGTTTTATATGCTTTGACAAATAAAGTGTGATTTGATTTGTTATATTAGGTGGATTAATAAGTACCTGGCTTCACAACAGATGGCAACGCCAGAACAAAATCAATTTTATTTTATATATCTGACAAGGTTTAAACGATAGCTTTACAAATTTCGACTTCATCAGATGTTTGGTAAGCTTTTTGCAAATAATTGAAATAGTAAACTTTGATTATTTTTGGAAAAAAATGGAAAAAAATTGAATAATATGGAAAAAATTGAATATCGTTCAGTACTCGTAATAAAATTCATCCATTTGAAAGGAATGAATAATGATGCAATCAAATTAGAAATGGATTCTGTTTACGGCAACGTTGCACTATTGTCTTAGTTTTTGTACTACTACAAAAAATGTTACATTAGGCAACAAAATTAGACAAAGCGAAAGTAAATTTAGATTGAATCCAGATATAGTAATCCAAAAAGGCTATAAGAGTTGATAACAGTTTTCTGTAAAATTTAAAGCTCAGAATCATGTTTAATTTTGAGCTTTTAGTGAATTGACCTAAAGCCGTACTTGACTTCGTGTATATTTGAACTTGAAATTTTGTTAATTAATGTTCAAAACCTCTTTATTAAATACAGTAGTCTCCATTACATTAGGTTAGGTTGAGAAGGCGCGTGCGTGCTGGCAGTTATCACCACTAACACTCGGAGATATAAATTGCCCATTGTGATATCCTCAAAGATTTTACCGAGTTTCTAACCTTTGTTATATTCATGTACTATCCTTGTTAAACCATTTGGTTTTCCAATATAGTTACATTAAGTAAAATAGTCACTGCCGTCATAACTGACATTTTTTCCTTTTTTAAAACATATATTTATTTATCTTCTCATACAATCTTCTCATACAATGAGACTAACAATAAGTTGTAAAATTGTATAATATAAAATAAAATAAATAAACCTTATATCACAGACATCATTTAGATTGGTGGGTTGAATTTCAGTGGTATGAGTGTGAGATGGATTATTAAGAAATTAAATTAACTTTATGAAATTACTAAAAATAAGAGAGGGGTATTTACTTGAATCTATTGAATTTTAATTATTGGCTGGACGGTCAGCTCTTCTTAGGCGGGAAGTACTGCTTTGAAATGCGAGTTTCCTCGCTAAGGGGTTAACATGTTCTGTCAGCTTTTTATCGTATTTTTTTCTTGTATTGTCAAATTCGGCTTTAATAATGAAATTTGTAGATCTCGGTAGATACTTTCATTCTTAATATACCATTTAGCTCCTGTGATTGTTCTCAGTATTTTTGGCTGAGTTCTCTGAATAATTTCAATGTTTGAAGCACTAGCATTACCGAATAGCTGGATACCATAAGTCCATATTGGTTTTATAGTGCTGTTATACAGGAGTAATTTATACTCTATAAAATTACACTCTAAAATTATATACTCTATTAAAATTCCTGGTGTTAACTTTAGATTAAAGTCGAAATATCGATAAATTAAAATGTGATTTATTTTTCAAAAAAAGTTTTGATCAATTAACTCAAAAAAAAAAAAAAACACTAATCAAATGTAATGTTATAAATTATTTTATTTATAAATAAAAATTATTTAATTTTTATTGTAAACTAAAAGAACTTACATAAATATTCTTATACGATTAAATTTATATGAAAGCATTTTTTATAATAAATAAAATCATATATAAAACTATTAGAAAAAAGGCATATATGTTATGGGTGCAAACTATGGTAGATCGCTCGCATTTTGCATGAATTTGTGACCTCGTTGGGTTTCCATGCATTGTGCTCAGTAAATAATTTACTATAAATACTTGAAATAAAAATACCATATTACTCTTATCAGCAATTCTATAATTTCTTTGCTATATAAATAAGTAAACTGACTGTCTTCGTACATAAATACCCGTACATTATTCGTTGGGAATGTACTGAAATGTACAAATACTTGTACATTCGAATTCTTATCAAACCACAGACGCAGCTCTGTCAAAGTATTGATTGCGAACTTATCACAGTTCTAGAGTTGAATTGAATTCAATTGATATTTGAGTAAAGCAATGAAAATTAGGTGTTCATTAATATAGCGTGACATATCAAAAATTAAATAGAAATAAAATAATATGGCATGAGACAAATTAATTATACATTATCAGTTAAATCGACTTATGCCATTTAAACAATCGCCAATCGCCAATCGGCAATCGGCAATTGGCAATTGGCAGTCGGCAGTCGGTGAAGTATGAGAGCTAGCTATTCAAAATTTGGTAATTCAACCAATTTATTGGTTAATTGAAATGTCAAAAATACTTATAATAATAATAACTGAATAAATAAGATTGTATGCCAATCTTATTTATTTGTTTTCTAATTATTTTGAATTGTTTTTGCTTTTTTGTTTTATAATTTTGATTTTTTTGCTTTGTAACAAATGAATGCCTCAGGCGATTTGAAGTGCTCAGTGGCAGTAACAATTACTTGAAGCGAACCGGCGAACAATAGCCTAAGTCCAACAAAGAAGATAGAACTTCAGCCGGTTAACATCTTTTATTGTCGGTGAAGTGCTTTAAGCCGTAATTGAAAAATGTGGCTCAAGTGTGCTGCCGCTTTATACTGTTCGCTTCGCCTTAATGACTCTTAAAAAGTCATTAGTTGATGAGTTAACATTTTGTGTGTGTTCCAGCTGAATTTTTTTTTAATTGATTAAATTTTTAATAAATTGTTTAATAATTGAACAATCATGTTTATGAAAATTATTACTGTATTTAGCTTAAAATTAATACTAATTACGAGTACACTTAGAAATCAATCAATTATACAAAAATTTTGATAGTAAATGAGACTCGAGAGATTATTTTAATGGTTCATTTATTAGCTTTGTGGATAAAATTAAAAATACAAGAAGATTAAAATATTGTTTATGAACATTTACTACTATGTACTTAAAATAAACCGAAAATATATAAAAAATATTAAAATTTTTATATAAATTTAGAATTAATCAGTTTATAATATTGCTTAAATACATTAAATTTGTATTTCTTATTCGAAAAAGAATATTATTTTCTTATATTAATTGTTTATAAAAAAAATTAA